CATAATGCTGTGGTTTGAATACAGTTGGTTCCCTTTAAAAGTCATGCTGATTTTTAATCCCCATCAGACAGTATGAAGGAGGTGGAAATGCAATCGAACTGTGCTGTTTAGAGTTGGGGTCTTCGGGAAGCAAGGGGTTAGATAAAGCCGTCGGCATGGAGCCCCTTGGTGGCTTTGTAAGAAGGAGAGAGACCAGAACACACACACACCTGCATTCTCCATCTCTTGCCAGATGATACCCCTGCACTGCCTCTGGATTCTGTCAGCAAGAAAGTTGATACTAAATGCAGCTTCTTGACCTTTGGGGCTCCAGAATTGGGGGTCAGAATAAGCCTCTTTTCTTTGTAACTTGTGCAGTCTGTGGTACTGTTATTAGTAGTAGCTAAAAGACTAAGAGACACAATTTTTTTTTGTGTGTGTGGGGTGCTGGGGATTGAACCCTGGTTCTTGTGCATGCAAGGCAAGCACTCTACCAACTGAGCTATATCCCCAGCCCTAAGACACACAATATTAACAAAACACATCCAACAGTGCTTAAACAAGATAGTGTACTGTCTAAATTACATTTATTCCAGGAATACAAGGTTTGGTTGATATTTCAATATTAATATAATTCACTCTATTATAATAGGCTGGGGATGTAGCTCAGTGGTAGAGGACTTGCTTAGCATGCACAAGGCCCTGGGTTCAATCTTTATCACTGCTGAGAGAGAGAGAGAGAGAGAGAGAGAGAGAGAGAGATTATACACACATGCATCCTACATACAATTCATCCTATTACCGAAATAAGAGAGTCAATAGATACATCAAAAATATTTGACAAATTTTAAAATTCATTTATGATAAGAACTTTGAGTAAAGTATGCATACAAATGAACTTCCTTAATTTGATATTTGAAGCATCTATGAAAAACCTACAGTCCATATCATACATAGCTGTGAAAGATGAATTAATTTTGCCCATCTTTGGGACAATGCAAAGATGTCTACTTTCACATCTTCAGTTCAACATTGTGACAGAAGTCTTAGCTCAAGCAAGGAGGCAAGAAAAAGAAATAAAAAGTGCACAAACTGTAAAAGAATAATTAAGGCTGTTGTTGTTTGTAGGTAGTATGATCATACATGTAAAGATCCTGATGGAATTTATCAAAAAGCTACTTGAAGTTAACGAGATGGGAGGTTACAAAATCAATGTACAAAAACTAATTGTGCTTATTCATACCAGCAAAAATTAGAAATTGAAATTTATGAAACACTGTCCATTATAATAATCGGATAGGAATGGCCTAGGGCTCTATTTGACAAAAACGTGAAAAAAACTGGACATTGAAAACTGCAAAACACTGTGAGAGATGTTAAAGAACACCTAAATAAATAGACAGCCGTGCCTTGCTTGTGGGTCAAAAGGCTCAAAATTGTTGAAATGTGAATTCTCAGCCCAATGTGGTAGGACATGCTTGCAATCCCAGTGACTAGGGAGGCTGAGGCAGGACCATGGCAAGTTGAGGCCAGCCTCGAAACTTGGTGAGACCCTCTCTCAAAATAAAAAATAAAAGGGCTGGAGATGTAGCTCAGTGGTAGAACCTTTGCCCAGCATGTACAAGACCCTGGATTCAAGCCCTAATACCACAAAAATAAAATAATTAATTTAATTAAATTAGAAAGGCTAGCAATGTAGCTCAGTGGTAGGGTTCTTTGAGTTCCATTCCTAGTCGGGGGTGGGGGGAGAGAAAACAGAAACAAAATAATAAACACTGTATTTCTATTTATTAGTAGAAAAGACAGATCTAATCTATAGTAACAAAAAACAGCTGATCAAGAGTTTAGTTCTGGGATGTTCGGGGTGATGGGGACGGAGTGCGCACACACGTGCACACAGCATGTTGAGATGACGTGTTCTACTTATGATTGTGATTGTATTTACATCAACGTATACCTTTGTCAAAAACCACAGCATCATATATTTATAATGGGTTCACTTCAATGTACGTTCATCGTATCTCAATAAACTGATTTTTAAAAAGCCTTTTAGCGATACCAGACTTCAAACTATACTACAGAGCAATAGTAACAAAACCAGCATGATACTGGTACCAAAACAGGCGGGTGGACCAATGGTACAGAATAGAGGACACAGAAACCAATCCACAAAACTACAACTATCTTATATTTGATAAAGGGGCTAAAAGCATGCAATGGAGGAAGGATAGCATCTTCAACAAATGGTGCTGGGAAAACTGGAAATCCATATGCAACAAAATGAAACTGAATCCCTTTCTCTCGCCATGCACAAAAGTTAACTCAAAATGGATCAAGGAGCTTGATATCAAATCAGAGACACGGCGTCTGATAGAAGAAAAAGTTGGCTACGATCTACATACTATGGGGTCGGGCTCCAAATTCCTCAATAGGACACCCATAGCACAAAAGTTAATAACTAGAATCAACAAATGGGACTTACTCAAACTAAAAAGTTTTTTCTCAGCAAAAGAAACAATAAGAGAGGTAAATAGGGAGCCTACATCCTGGGAACAAATCTTTACTCCTCACACTTCAGATAGAGCCCTAATATCCAGAGTATACAAAGAACTCAAAAAATTAGACAATAAGATAACAAATAACCCAATCAACAAATGGGCCAAGGACCTGAACAGACACTTCACAGAGGAGGACATACAGTCAATCAACAAGTACATGAAAAAATGCTCACCATCTCTAGCAGTCAGAGAAATGCAAATCAAAACCACCCTAAGATACCATCTCACTCCAGTAAGATTGGCAGCCATTATGAAGTCAAACAACAACAAGTGCTGGCGAGGATGTGGGGAAAAGGGTACACTTGTACATTGCTGGTGGGACTGCAAATTGGTGCAGCCAATTTGGAAAGCAGTATGGAGATTTCTTGGAAAGCTGGGAATGGAACCACCATTTGACCCAGCTATTCCCCTTCTAGGTCTATTCCCTAAAGACCTAAAAAGAGCATGCTACAGGGACACTGCTACATCTATGTTCATAGCAGCACAATTCACAATAGCAAGACTGTGGAACCAACCTAGATGCCCTTCAATAGACGAATGGATAAAAAAATGTGGCATTTATACACAATGGAGTATTACTCTGCATTAAAAAATGACAAAATCATAAAATTTGCAGGGAAATGGATGGCATTAGAGCAGATTATGCTAAGTGAAGCTAGCCAATCCCTAAAAAACAAATGCCAAATGTCTTCTTTGATATAAGGAGAGTAACTAAGAACAGAGTAGGGACAAAGAGCATGAAAAGAAGATTAACATTAAACAGGGATGAGAGGTGGGAGGTAAAGGGAGAGAGAAGGGAAATTGCATGGAAATGGAAGGAGACCCTCAGGGTTATACAAAATTTCATACAAGAGGAAATGAGGGGAAAGGGAAAAATAATACAAGGGGGAGAAATGAATGACAGTAGAGGGGGTAGAGAGAGAAGAGGGGAGGGGAGGGGAGGGGAGGGGGGATAGTAGAGGATAGGAAAGGCAGCAGAACACAACAGACACTAGTATGGCAATATGTAAATCAATGGATGTGTAACTGATGTGATTCTGCAATCTGTATACGGGGTAAAAATGGGAGTTCATAACCCACTTGAATCAAAGTGTGAAATATGATATATCAAGAACTATGTAATGTTTTGAACAACCAACAATAAAAAAATAAAATAAAAAATAAAAAGCCTTTCAGTCTGTGGAGAAGGAGGAAAAACATTTTTAGCTGAAGAAGTCATGAGGTCACTGGAGCAGGACATGCGCAACCACAGGGGAAGAGACACAAAGCAGCACCGTGTATGCAAAAGCATCTTTACACCTGGGCTTGCACTAAGGACTCCACCGTCTCAAAGAGGAGACTTCTGTGTGGTCCCCGACACTTTAACCTTGGCATCCTTGTCTCCACATAGGCTTTCTCACACCTGGGAGCAAAGGTGTGGGCCCACCGTCAGGTTTCAGCCATTTCCTGGGGACCATTAGTCTGCTTCCCCACATGCTCTCATTTTCCTTTATTTTTGTGCATCACTGACCACTCTTTTTTTTTTCTCTCCGTCTTCCTCTTTGGACTTGATTCCTGGACGCAGATGTCAGTATTGGATGGCACCTTTCCACATTTCTTAATGGCTCAGCTTCCATTTTTTTGGTCTGTCTATTCGCAACCCTAAATACTCCAAGATTGAAAAAACTGGAAATTAAGGTCATTTATCCTCTAATTCACAGTCTGAATTACACACAGGCTTCAGGTACCAAAAACTGGTAGTTCAAAGTGATAAGGAAAGCCATGAGAGGGGTTCTAGATATCCAGACTTGGGATGAAGAAAGAGAAATATCACAAATGTCAGTCAGGGTAAATAGCGAACTCCTCCCTAGTGTTCAGGGGCTGATGTGCATATGCCTATTTTCTCTATTTTATTTTCATATACTGTAACATTTTGTTACGAATTGTAATTTCCCATGATTTTGTTTCTCAGCTGTTTTATGCTCATTTGTTGGTACACCAAAAGTTCCAGTGTGAAAGCTTGTAAAGGTATGAATAGTTGGACCCTGTGCAGATCATCCTGTGAGACAGCTGTCAGATGTGACCTGGTGACCACCCCATCCATCCGTAGCTCAATGATGTTTGCCTGGCGTGACTTTTCTAGGGACTGCTGGGAAACAGGGGTGTGTTGATGAGACCGTGGAGGGGACAAAGATGAAAGTGTGCCACCTGAATTTCAGGAGGTCTGTATCATGGTGAGACCCATTGAAGTCAGAAACTCTCTTTGAGAGACCAGAGCTCTTAAAGGAGGCCCTCGAATATTGATGGACGCGCAGGGTCTCCGGGTTGTGGAATGGCACCAAATTACAGAAAGGAATATCTTTGATTTTTCTCAGCCTTCATAGGAGAAGAAATTGAGCCTGGCCATTGGGGGGTTCTTCTTCCTTCTTCTATTTCTATAAACGTGCGCTGAAGGGTGAACTTCCGGTCCTGACTTCCTCAAACCTGAAAGCTGTCACCTCTTGACCTGAGGTGCATTATTTTTGTCAAAGAAGCATCTTCATTTAACCATCTTCAATCTGGTCCTCATGCGGCCGGGGCTCTTGCTGTTTATCTGTGGTGAGTCGGACAGCTGGGAGCAGGGTCTGGGGAGCCATCACACTGGGGCTCCACTGGCTGACAATCTATGGGGACTCCTGGGGACTAAGTCTCTGCCTGGCGAGGCTCAGGGATGCTTGGCACATCTCAGATCTGTACTTCCAACTCAGGGCTCAGAGTCAGGCAGAGTTTTGAGGAAAATTATCGCTTCAGTTTTTATCTAAGACGTGTTCACTGCCCATCCCTCCTTCTACCCTTAATTCTGTCTTTGTTCTTGATGCTTTCAACAGCCATGCCAAAAAAAAAATCTGCACAACAAAGATAACCTTTCAGTTCCCTTCTTCTTATTGTTACAAGCATTATTTTCTCTTAGCCCTCTTTGCACCCCATTCCCACTGTCAAACCTTAGAACTCATCATCACCCCTTTTTCAGGATTCCTCCCCACCCCACTGTAACCTAGGCCACTTTCTCTAACAGTGTCTCCGAGGTGTCTGTGACTCCCGGCATTGCTTTTCCATGATCGGTGACCACACATCATGTGCTCCATCCCCACGGGACGCAGATTCCCCAATCCATCACCACGACACCCCTTAGGCTCTCAGTCCCCACAGCACGGTCCTGCTCAACCCTATTTTTTTTTAACACACTTTACATGTGTGCCTGAGCAGCTGGAGGGGACTTTAGACAAAAGGCACAGCCCAGCTGACATCTCCATTTAACGTGGGACCCCAAATTTCAGGCAGCTCTTAGCACTGCCAGGCACTTTCCTGCACTTTGACGGTCCTCTTCTCCTGCCCACGATGACCACCGTTTCACACCTTCTTTCCCCTAGATGGACCCCTTTGATTCCCATTTATACCCTTGCTTCATGGCACGTTGATAAAATAAAGACCACCAGAAGAAAATGTCCTTATGCTTTTGCCGCCGCATCTACCCACTCGCTGTCCCCTGCGGTCACCTATTCTGTGTCCTCTCCCACTGTCCTCAATATCTTCTCTCTCACCCACCCCCTTGCCCCATCCCTTTTCTGTCTCCCTTTACAAATTTTCAGTGAGTTAGTCTTTGTTTCACTTCCTTCCATCTTTTTCTTTAAACTCCATATTTGATCTTTAATTGTATTAAGATCTGCTTTTTTGAAATAGTATCTGGGATTTTTTAACAAAGGTTTAGGGTCTTGTGGCCACCAATTAATCTCAAAAACCCATTTCCCTCACTTCAAACATCCCCTCCCTCCTCACTCTCTCCATGTCAGATGGTCCCCTTTCTGTAACCCCCAACAGCTGATAAATGGCTTTAGGTCTCTGTGGTCCTTCCTTTTCCTTTCTTGAACCCATTTTAATTGGTCTTTCACTCACTGCTCCATGGAAACTGCTTTTGCTGATCAAGTCCACTACGGCCATGTGGCCTCACCCGGTTTCCAGTTTCCACTCCTCAGCCTCTTGGGGCATTCAACACTGATGATCACTCCTTCTCCTGGACACATTTTCAACACCTGGCTCCCAGCATACTCTATTCTGCCGGTTCTCTTCCCTAAATTATATGATTCTGTTGCTCCATGAACCATTTTCAGCTTAAATTCAAACTTTTTTTCTCCAGCTTTGACTCCGTTGTTAAGCACCTTTTATGTATCAATGGCCACTCAAGTATCTAATAGCGTCTTTCCTTCCTTCTTCCTTCCTTCCTTCCTTTCTTTCTCGCTCTCTTTTTGGTGCTGGCATTTCAAGGACTTCACACATGCTCGGCAAGTGCTCTGCCGCAAAGCTAAACCCCAAGTCCCCTAGTGACCATCTTAAACTCAAACAGACCTCTTGACCTTCCACCTCTACCCGCCACCACCACCAAACCTAACCCATTTCTCCCCACATCTTCTCCATTTCAGTAGCTATCACACATTTCTTCCTGTGGCTGTGGTCAGAATTTTGAGTCATATTTAATTCATCTATTTTTTTTGGTACTTTCTATTTCATATTAATTCTACTTTCAAAATTCATGCTAACACATGACCGCTTCGCAGCATCAGTGCTGCCTAATCAAGCCATCATCCCTGCTCTCCTAGATTTCCACTAACATTCTCCTGAGCTCTCTTGCATTTCTACAGCCTGTTTCCTTTACGATGTCAGACTGAACTTGTAAATGTAAATTGACCCAGAACCATCACATCTAGATTAAATCCAAAATTGCTCTGAATTTTATAAAGACCCCCAGGACTGGCTCCTGCCTGCTCCTTTCAGACTGATGCTCTCCACTGTCCCCCACCTGTTCAGGTGCAGGACTTGCCTTCTCCTTCCTCCCTAGACAAGCTCATCCCCACAGCCCCACGGCCTGTGCATTTGCTGTTTTTATCTCTGCTAGATGCACTTTCCCAGATATTCCAAAGTCTTGTTCCCGAATCTATTGAAACAGTCAAGACCATCCTAAGACATTCTGTAACTTATTCCTCTGCTCTGTTTTTCTTGTGTCACCAACCACTCTAGGAAACCATCCTACATTTATTTTGTCATTGTCTCCCTCCCAGCATAGTGTTTATTCTTGACATCACAGACTCTTGGTCATATTCCCTACTGTAAACCTGGTGCCATGCACAATGCCTGGCATACAGTAAACCTTCAAAATTATTTTTTAAAAGACTCCAAGATTAATAAAAATGTGCAGTACAACTTAAAGGAAACTTGGATTTGTCTTACAAGGATTCAATAAAAATGTACATACCAAATAATATAAAGCAAAAAACCAAAACCTCTAATTTTTAATGACATTTTAGAATGCACTAATGCATCAAAGATTTGTATGAAATTTGTATGAAATTAAAATTAAGCCTTTGAAAGACTATTCATTGTGTGGATTAATACCTAAAATATGTTTCGCTCCCCCTGCTTGAGAAACTAATTATTCAAATAAGAATTAAACCTAAAACAATAGGCATCTCAGACTAAACGTAATAGTGATAAGACATTATTTATTGGATACTAAGTAAGTTTCAGGCTCTATTCTAAGCACTTTGTGGGTATCAACTCACTTAATCCTCACAAAAACTCTGCCAGGCAGGTACTATTGTTATCTCATTTTATGGAAAAAGAAACCAAAGCACAGAGAGGAGAAACATTTTTCCCAGAGTCACACCGCTTGTAAGAGTAAACTTGGAGTAAACTGAAGATCCAAATCTCTGCCTTCTGGTTATAAAGTCTGCATTATCTCCCAAATTTTTCCTTCTTGACCATTATGACACCAGAGTGCGGTGAAATCCTTGGGCTAGAGGAGAATCAGGAGAAGTGTCTATCCATTCTCTGGACCTAAGCTTCTTCTGATCTCAAGTTGGTAAAACAAGGGACTCCATGCCTTAGCCATGAGACCTTTACCCCCTTGCCTGAGTGTGTTGTGGTCCTGAGACAGTGAGTCCTGACTGGATCATCAAGACTTTTGACAGGAGGAGGTAGAAATGGGAATAAGAAGTTCTAAGAAGGATGTTAAGTAATTAAGAGCTAAGCCTTAATGGAGAACAAAATTGACCAAATTACGTTCTTAGATGGTGCATGTATGAATATGTAAAAAGGAAGCCCACTACTATGTATAATCGTAATGCACCAATTAGAATAAATAGATTTTTAAAAATAAAGGTTATAATGCCCTAATTTTAAAAATTGTAAGTAAATAGAAGAAAGACCATTAGAGGAAAGGGAAGCAGGGGAGGAGGGGAGGGAGAGGGGAAGTACTGAGGACTGAATTGGAGCAAATTATATTCTATGCTTGTAGAATTACGTCAAAATGAACCCCAATATTATGCATAACTATCATGCACGACAAAAAAAATAAGAAACAACAAAGTTACCATTTCTGAATCACCGATGACAAAAGTTATTGGAAATTATGATCAGAGGAAAAAAAAGGTGCTTTGGGGGTGGGTGTTCTGTGGGTGATATGGAATGTTGGTAAAGGAAAAGAGAGAAGGAAAGACGGAAGGAAGGGGAGGGAGATAAATGAGGGAAGTGAAAGCAGGAGGAGGCAGTGACAAGGAGGGAGGGTCTACTGCTGGAAAGTCCTAGAGGAGTCACATTTGTCTGCCTGTAGGACTTCCTGCTCTGTGCTGATGTCTCCTGAATTTTCTTGCAGCTCTGCTCTGTGAACCTGACGGTGAGTTGCACTTCCTTTACTTCCTCACAGTCTGTCACTCAGGTCAGATCAGGAGACCTGTGGATGGCCCTCTGAGCAGCCCCTACCTGTCCAAGATGCATCTGGTGACAGCTGCTGAGGTGTACAGACATCAGTGGCTCCCCTGAGCCCAGGCTGCTGAGCCGTGTCTGCCCAGCTGGGTGATCAGGTCTCGCCTGGCCTTCCCCTTCCTTTCTGGGAAGTCTCAGCACAGGGATGAAGATGCTATTTGCACAAAAGAGGCAGAGGGTGCCAAAGGCTGATGTTAGAAGAGTCTCTGTCCTCCCTGCCCCAGGGGCTTCAAGTCCCCTGGGGACTCTGCCATGGGTGATGGAGGAAAAGCTGAAATCACAGAGCCATGGAGAACAACACTGAAGTCCGTCCCCAGGCCACGTGCAACGAAGTCGTACTGTGCCTCCTGCCTATTTTTAGCTCCCCTCTGCAGCCACAGTTGTTGCCCCAGTTCAGTTTCCTCTCTCCGACTGGTTTATGCAAACGTACTTCATTGCTCTGATCCTGATTCAGAGTCTTGACTTTCTCAGAAGAGGGGAGTAGGAAAGTCTTCTGCCATGAGAAATCTCACTAAAGCAGCTTCCAATATAATATATGCTAGAACCGCTCTCGTGTGCCTAAGATACTAACCTAAGGGTTAAGAGAGGACGTTGTGCTACCTCCAGGGATCAGGGATTCCTGTGACCAGAGAGATCGGAATCACCTTGGCCCTCTAAGTTCCTTACCTAATATTTGTCCAAGTCCAGCTCCTGCTTGGTGTTAATGTCACACGAGCTTTGTTCTTGGTCTCTCCTTTACCCTTAACCTCAGGTGCCAAATTCTAGCCTAAGCAAAAATCCATAGTTACATCAAGGATAAAGAAACAAAATTCCCAGGTATTTTCAGGTAATCTCTGCTGCCTGGGAATCAATGGCATTAAGCTTGACCTGCAAGTCTGAGCTCCAGGCTCTTGTAGTCAGCCCTGTGTGGCTTCCAGCTCCACCTGCTCCCCTGCCCTGGATAGAAGCTTGAGTGGATTCTAGGTGCCCAAATGCCTGTTTTATTCCTTTCTCTATTCAGCTCCAAAAGCTGTAATGCTCCTCTGTTTTCTGGGGCCCAGCTTTCTGAGGACAAAAAGAACAGGGTATTCCATGCCCCAGGTCAGAGGGAACATTCTGGTAACCACAGATGAAACTGAGGTTTAAAAAGACCCGGGGAAAAGCCTTGTGTGTGTGGGGTGTGGGCGGGGCAGAATTGGAAATGATAGACATTAGTCTAGGAATCATCTCTCAGTGATCCAGAGTACTCTCGCTGGCATCTGGTGAGGAGAGGAAGAGGTTTCTTTCAGGAAAAAAAATAAATAAATAGAGCCTCCCATGTCAGAGGCTCTAAGAGTTGGATAAGCACGTGCCCAAAGATTTGTGAGATTTCATAGATTTCTGCAACTGGGAGTTCTAAGGGGAGAGGGGAGAGTAGAAGGCACCTTCACCATCTTTATTTACCCAGAAAAAAAGTCCCTAAGGCCCCAAAGGATCTACCCCTAAGGCTTAAGGCATGGACTAAATTTTCTTCTCCTGTGGCTGCAGCAGAGGTCTGTGTTGAAGTCCCAGATCAAGGGAATGGGGCTGTGTGGATGTCCACAGGGCACTTCCCAGCAATGGGACTAGCGACAGTAGGGACAAGACATAGTCCACACAGAGGGGTTTGAGTTCCTCTGTGCTGTTCCCATCCTGACTGATTCTTCAGGTCCACATTCTGTCTTTGAAACAGCATGTGTCTGAGACGGGAGGGGAAAGAGAACAGAAGAGAATAACAACCAGGTGATAGACCATGGTCCACAGAAATGTATTCGCTTTTATTAAAAATCAAAGTTTCCCCGTCTCCAATGCCAACTGCAGCTACTGTCTTCAATATTCCTGCCCTGGCTTCCAGAAAGGGGTTTTTAGTTCCTGGGCAGAACTTCAAGAATTATAAGATCCTAGTCACAGTGCTGCCTTCTGGAAGTGGCTGCTGTGGCCCGTGGCAGGATGTGTGAGGATGGACAGGGTGGGTCCGTGGCAAGGGGAAGCCCATGGGCCACTTTAGGGAACATAGGGGTATTGTGTGGCTGAGGACCGAATGCCTCTCACCAGGAACTGTGAACCCCACGGCCCTGGACTCTATCTGTTTAATTATTCTCTCCAGAGCTGTTTCTACATCTTGTGCTGACAGCCAGGCCTTCCAAGCCCATAGAGGGGAGCTCACTGACCCTGACCTGTGAGACCCGGCTCCTTCTTCAGCCGCCACCTGTCCAACCCCAGTTCAGCTTCTTCAGAGATGGCCACAACCGGGGATCAGAACGGAGCAGCTCCCCAAAGCTCCAGATCCCCACGGTGTGGAAGGAAGACTCGGGGACTTACTGGTGTACCATGACGACAGCGGGGAATAAACCCCCCAAACAGAGCCAGAGTTCCTACATACAGGTGCAGAGTGAGTATCTAAGGACTGTGCTTCCAGAGTCCGCTGGGGAGAGGACGGCAGATGCTACCTCTCCTGTCCCTGGGATGGCAGAGGTGGAGGGAGGCTTCAGCTATCCTCGTATCCCTCTCTCTCCAGGGTCACCTTGACCAGGTGGCAAGAGAAGGCTTGGTAGAAGTGTGTGGAATAGACTATTGGAGAAGGCTTGTGTGTGTGTGGGGGGGGGCTTTATTTTGAAAGAGTACAAAAAGAAAATTTTATTATTATGAACCATGTCATACCATATCAGATTGACACTTCTGTGACATGATCTCCTGCAAAAACCCAACATTTAGTCAGATGCCAGGGTGCACGCCTGTAATCCCAGTGACTTGGGAGGCTAAGTCAGAAGGATTGCAAGTTTGAGGTTAGCAAGACCCTGACTCAAAATAAGAATTAAAAAGGGTTGGAGGTATAGCTCAGTGGTAGAGCACCCCTGGGTTCAATATCCAGTACAGAGTTGGAGGTGTGGCCGGAGTATGACATTCAAGTCTACTACCTCCAAAATATTAGGTAGACCCAGACTTCTAAAAACTCAACACTAGTGAAACTAAACCTACTATCTCCACCACGGCAAAAACCATCGAACAGCTCGTACACAGCAGGTGCCATTTTAGTGCTTCACATATATGTTTAATTGAAGCGCCACACCTGCAGGAGATAACTATCATTGCATCTCCATTTACAGATGAGAAATTGAGTCTTATAAAAGTAATTTGATCAAGCATGCACCGCAAGCAAGAGTTGGAACCAGTATCCACATCTAGGCAGATTGACTCACAATTTGGACTTATAATCACTATATTACTGTGCCTTAAAAAAAAGAAAGTTTGAGACTGAGGGGAATGGAAGTCACATTGTCCTAGGCAAAGAGGAGATGCCACATTTTCCATGGTGATATTATCATATCTTTCTAACCCTATCATCACCACCAAACTAGAACTGATTCCAAATCAGTAGAGCCTCCCCTCCAGTCAAACTTTATACATCATGACTTTGCCTTCAGCTTTGCCTTCAAGACCCCCATACCTACTCCCTGTGCTCCAAACACTCCCTACTCGGGTTTCTCCCACATTATCTGGTGTTTGTGCAGGAATTCCTGTCTCTGACGTGAGCTTGGAGACTCAGCCTCCAGGGGGACAGGTGATGAAGGGAGACAAACTGGTCCTCATCTGCTCGGTGGCTAAGGGCACAGGAAACATCACCTTCGTCTGGTACAAAGGGCATTTGGGTTTAAACCTGGAAACCAAGACCCAGCATTCACGGACAGCAAACTTCGAGGTCGCACCAGTGACGGAGAGTGACTCCGACCAGTACTACTGTGCAGCTGACAACGGCCACGGCCCCAGCCTCAGCGGACTGGTGGACATCGCTGTCAGAAGTGAGTTCCAGTGTGGTGTCAATGGGCCCCTCCTGGGGTGCTGGGGTGCCTGCAGCTTGGCCGGCTCGGCTCCGTGTTCCCCTGGGGTGCCTTGTTCCATGGGTGGAGTCTCGGGACAGGCAGGGATTTTGGCTCTACTGCACCAGTGGAGACACGTCTCTGACAGTCCACTGTCCCTGTCAGTTCCAGTGTCCCGTCCTGTGCTCACCCTCAGGGCTCCCAGGGCCCAGGCTGAGGTGGGGGACGTGGTGGAGCTTCACTGCGAGGCCCTGGGGGGCTCTCCCCCGATCCTGTACCAGTTTTATCATGAGGACGTCACCCTGGGGAACAGCTCGGCGCCCTCTGGGGGAGGAGCATCCTTCAACCTCTCCCTGACTGCAGAACATTCTGGAAACTACTCCTGCGAGGCCGACAATGGCCAGGGTGCCCAGCGCAGTGAGGCGGTGACTCTCAATTTCACAGGTATAGCTTCGGTGGTGGGGTTGTCTCCATCCGCGTCTGCCCCAGCACCCCAGGAGAGGCCCATTGACACCCCGGTGCCTCTGCTGCTCTACTCAGGACGAGGGCTCCTGTGGGAGGAGTGGAGGTCGGGTGCCTGTCTTCTTGCATCAATGTGAACAGACGCAGATCCCTAAATAAATAAGTACATCCGTCCTGGGAGAGCAGCCGTTGAGCAGAGCCCGTACCAAGAGGTCTGTCCCCAAACCCAATTCCTTCCTACAGCAGCTCAGCCCCAGGTCTCCCCCTCAGTGCCTGCCGAACCCAGAGGCGAACATCTTACTTCAGGAGTCGTTGAGGGGCTGCTCGGCAGCCTTGGTCTCATCACTGCAGTCCTGTTACTTGGCTACTGGCTCAAGAGAAAAATAGGTTAGTGTTCATAGAGGTGGGTATTCTGTGACCTCAGATTTCACTGAAATAGGCTGGGAGGGTAACATGCAAACGGCAAAGGATAGATATATGCTTTTAGCCATATATTTATCCTTTGCAGTATACAATTTGCAAAATTTAGCCAATTTAGTAAAATTCTTTATCTCCCCACATGTCATCAATTGAGGTTCAGCTGATATCATATTCTTCTGTGATTTAATTTTTTTATAGAGGAACATAGTACTTGAATTAATCAGTCCCTGGAAGAGAAAAGTGCTTAACAGCTCCAGCTAAGCCTGATCCTCTCCTAGCTCTAAAGTCAGTGCAGAGAGTCTTATTTATCTTTTGGGTTTGCCAAAAGCTACTCCCTACTCCCCAAAAAGCTCATTCACATATCCACATGTTCTAATCATTGCTAGAAACTTCACTCTTGAGTGGAAATGCCATTTTCTCCAAGACGCTTCAGCGGGTCACACGGCCTCCCACGGTTCTCTTCTGTTATTAATTCCGGGTGACTCAGCCTCCCACTTTATCACCAATGACAGTTAGGTATTCCTTGGTATACTGAGCTCCGGGCTCTTGCTCTCCCCTGAGCAAGTGGGAGATGGAGCAGGAGAGGACAATGTGAGATTTTCATTTAAATTCTAGACTTTTCCAGCATCTTTGGGCACGTCAACTATAACATGGCTGTGGCAACACCTGCCTGTGAGGACTTTGGGCAGGATAAGATTCTCATCCTCACATCATAGACATGAGAGTTCAGAGACCTGGGCTCCACTCGTAGATCCGGTGCTTTTTGCTTTGGGGCAGCTCATTTATATCCTGGACCTGAGTCTCCTCATTTGTGAAAGGAAGGCTCTGCAAATAATTGCCCGGATGTCCTCTGGGCACAGGGTGGCATCCACAGTGGGCATTCTGGCAGGAGGTGCATCCCTGTGTACCAGGGCTATAAGGGAGCTGAGAAGGAGGTTCCTCCATTGACAGGTTCACTCATCTGTTTGACTTTCAGAAAGATGCTCAACCAGGGACCCACACAGGTAAGACCTCTGCTTTCTCTGTAGGTGCTACTAATGCAGGAAAACAAGAAAATTTTTAACTCTGAATTGTCCTTTTTTGTGTGTGAGCTGTTTTCCTATCTTCTCATACCTAAAAATCACACCTGAGTTCAGTGTACTTTAATTTTCTACTTCTGGTCTTGTAAGTTTCATATGATAACTAATTAATCATTTTTCCTATGTCTATCCCTTTCAATACATCTTCACAATAAGAAAGTTACATTGCTTTGACCAGGACTGTCCATTTGTTCAAGCAGTCAATGTCTCAGCCAGTGTCTAAGGGTCTGTCTGTAGGCTGCAGAGACCCATGAACATATGGAAAGATCTTGAGAGTCCTAAAGTATTTCAGGGCAGGTGAGATATACATATACACATTTCTGTAATGTTAGACAGGAATAAACATACTGAAAAATTATTGATGACATTCTTTAGAAGTTTAGAGGAAGAAAACACTTTCAAATACGTCCTTCTAGGAATACCAGTGTTTATTTGATGTATTTTATATGTTTTTGTTTATGCCAAAAATAAACAGATTTTTCTTTTCCAAATCAGAGTGGCCCTCTTTCAGTGGTACATTCCATAGATGCCTGTTTAATTCTGCCTTTTCTTCAAGTTCCTTAGTGTGGTCAGCCACCTGTTTGCCTCTGGGGTGAATCATTATTTCTCTATCCAGGATTTAGAGAGCCTTTATAACGTAAGTGACATCATTTCAGGTGTGGGCTGTCCCACAGTGAATCAGTCAGCTAAGACTTGTGGAATATGTGCACTAGGGCGACTGCAGTGTCCACACTTAGGGCCACGGCTTATACGGTAGGATGTGCCTTCCAGTTCCCTGGACTGATATTCTGTCCAGGACTCTTCCTTAAAGAGCTTCTCTCCTTCGCTGTTTTACGATCTTGGATAGATAGGTCTGGGACATCTTGAATGCTATTCCAGACAGCTCACACGTGTTTCTGTGTTTGTAGGAGCCATTCCAGTCCTGAACCTCAAGAACCCAACTATCTCAACTCACCTGACCCAGTGCAGCTACCGCCTGTATACGAAAATGGTAAAGTTTCTCAAATGACCTGGGCCAACGTAGGCATAGCATTTGAGTCAGCTTTTCATCACTGTGACCAAAAGACCTGACAAGGACAAGTTTAGAGGAGAAAAATTTATTTGGTGATTTCAGTTTCAGAGGTCTCAGTCCATAGACGGCCGGCTCCATGCCTTGGGGCTCAAGGTAAGACAGAAAGAACATTGTGGAAGAAGGTTGTGGTAGAAGAAAGCAGCTCGGGACATCACATCAGGAAGCAGAGCCAAAGTCCCCTCACCAGGGACAAAATATATACCCCAATGGCACAGTCTCAATGACCCACCTCCTCCAGCCACACCTTTCTGCCTAAAGTTACCACCAGTTAATACCCAGCAGAGGATCAATGCACTGGTTAGGTGAAGACTCATAACCCAGTCATTCTACCTCTAAACTTTCTTGCATTGTCTCACACATGAGCTTTTGGGGGACACCTCATACTTAAGCCATAATAAGCTAAGAAGCTGAGCCATGAGCTGACCTCTGCTGGCCAAACCAGATCCTGCTGTGTCCCCGCCTCCTCTACAAATAAACGATCCATCAGCCTCCAGGGCTGGGACAGGCGGTAGACACACAGAGTGAACTGAATGATAGGAAGAAGGGACTTTGTCATGAGGTCGAAGCCATTTATGGTCCTGCTACCTGGGTACAGCATGACAGTTGCACTGTAGAACTCTTTATGTGCTAAACTGGATAATTCGCCTGCAAACTGTACTGGAAATTATTACTAATCAAACTGCTACAGCCTTTGGCCACACAACAGGCCCAAATGTGAGTGCCTATCTATCAAGACCGCTTGGCATTAGATTACCCACTAGCTGAGGAAGGGGAAGTACATGAAAAGTTTAACAGTTCAGACTGTCGCATCCAAATAGATGACCACGGACAGACACTTAAAGACATAGCCAGCAATATCAGAAAACTAGCACAGGTGCCCGTCCAAACCTGGAAAGGCATTAAAGATTGGAATCCAATCTCACTATTTGCAGGATGGTTTTCAGCCCTTGGTGGATTTAAAAGCTTAATTGGCATAGCAGGTCTTCTGCTGTTAACCTATTTATCACTCCCACATTTGGCTTCCCTGTGCATTAAAACTATTGGGTCTACTATAAAAATAGCTGTTAAAAGAAAGACAACAACTGAGATCATGCCATTATATAAAGCTTTAAAGCCAAGAAGAAGATGATGATCTTTGATTGAAATAAAAATCATCAAAGGGGGGAATGAAGCAATCCAGAGACCCCCCCCCACCCACATCCAGAAGACCCTTGCCATAATTAAGCTTCTCCTCTTGTCAGATCAGCAGGATGCCTGCAGAGGTTACTGTGGTTGGTATTTCCTCTTTCTTGTATATGCCAGGTTTGCACACAAAAGCTGTGATAGAGTCAAGTCTGCAAACTTGCTGTAAAAAACAATATTATCTCTGTTTTCTTGGTTAAAAAAAAAATTGTGAAACCTGTGTCTGGTCTCGGGCATGGAACAGAGAGAACTTGTCCTGTGAATCTCCAAGGACCTCCTCCCGCCAACACTGGGTATAAAGCTCAAAAAATTTCCAAAATCTTTGCTCAGAGAAAGAATTCTTAGGCGAGAGCCACCTCTGAACCCTGAAGTCAATAAACCTGCTTCCTGAAAATTCCTCGGGTGTCCAGTCTTCTGTCCTACTTCAAAGAGTCCTTTCTTCTCTTGCAGTGAATGTCATGCGTGGGGATGATGTGTACTCCCTGGTCTACCATGTCCAGCAGGAGCAGGAATCGGGAGCAGGTGAGACTTGAGGCTGGGGATGAATTTGCCTCTGACCTTTGTCTTTCCTTCTCTTGGAACCAAGAAGATAATCATTTTTCCTTTGGATACTATGGTAGTCATACTAGATCGAAAAGCAAAATAATAATAATAATGATGAAAATCAATCTAAGGGAAATACCCAGAAGATGAAGAAGCCTTTATTAGTGGGCATTTATTGAAAGACTTTAAATATAAGTAGAATCTCACAGCACTTACTTTTTCTTTCACAGCTGAACACATGAGGACACAGGTGGAGAATAAGGTGAGACAGGTTCTTATTGGTTTTTTTTCTCCGTGCACATTCTCTGTTTCCCCTGAGGACGGTTCACAAACTTCTTAAATGATAGACACTTAGAGGAAAAAAAAATGTCATGATCTCTTATCTACCATCACAATGGAGGAATTTCTGTACAAGGAAGTTTTGGAGTCTTACATGTACATTTGCTTTAGCAATAAGCATATAGGTTATTTGTAGTTCAATTGCTGCTATTTCAGCCCTGTAAACAAAAGACCTGACAAGAACAATTTCAGAGGAGGTAAAGTTTATTTGGGGCTCATGATTTCAGAGGTCTTAGTCCATAAATGGGCTCTATTGCTCTGGACCCAAGTGAGGTGGAACTTCATGGCAGAGGAAAGCAGCTCACGACATGGCCATCAGGAGGCAGACAGCGAGCTCTGTTCATAAAATATATACTTTGAAGGTACCCCCCCCACAAACACACCTACCTCCTCCAGCCACATCCTCCTGCCTACAGTTAAAATTAATCCATTGAAGTGGATTAATGCAGTGATTGGGTTAATGCTCTCATGACCCAATCATTGCATCTTTAAAATGAAATTGCATTATGTCACACATGAGCTTTGGAGGAACACCTCCTATCTAAACCATATCGAATTTTTAAAAATTCTATTTATTTGAAAATATTTTTCCTAAAATACTGTTGGAATATATATATATATATATATATATATATATATATATATATATATATACACACACACACACACACACACACACACACATATATATCACTTAGTGCTGTTAAGGTCAACAAAACAGTGTGCGGCAAACTAAATTAATATTGAACAAAACTAAGCTCATAGTGATTTGTGTTATGAGATATCAATAATTTGCAAAACTCAAACAATTCAAGATATATATTGATGATACAAAGTCACTTTCTGAAAATCGTAGGTATCCCAACTGCACAAAGAGTAGGTGCTTAGCATTTTCGTGGGGTGCATTCTGGCAGCCAGTTATCTCAGGACAGAATTCAAGTCCTTGGGAAACTCTGGTGCTATGCTAAATTTAGTTTTCAATTCTGAAATCTTTAAAAATGATAGCCCATGACAATGGCCCGTAAGGATGAGGGAAGGCCTTATATGCTTGGATTAGTCTGCAGCTCATCAGGAAGTAAGCCCTCTGTAAGCCTCCAGTGGGCAGCAGGCCATCTGAAAATGCTTATGGGTAGTCACCATCTTCTAAGAGGCTCTTATTTACATGCTGTGGGTGCACCATGGTGGGAAGTATTCAGTTGACTGGGGAGGAGCGTTGGTAGACTTCTGTTTTTTATTGCAGAAAATATACATAACACAAAATTGCTGTTTGTATGTTCTCCTTGTCTGTTGTCCTCTGATCCTATCCATGTGACTCTGGGTTCAGGTCTCTGCAGACATCTATTCTAGGCTGAGGAAGGCAAACATTGCAGATGTGGACTATGACGACACTACGTAAGGTGATGGAAGACTCTGCTCTTCAAAACCCATCCATGCCCGAGCCTCAGACCAATAGGATCTTCACAGATTCTCAGGAGTCAGATTTCCAATCTACCTCATCCACATGCTTTTTTTCTGTGAGAAAATCCCTTCATCGACTGTGAAGTGAAGTTGGCACAAGTCCTGAAGAAACCACCCAGGAGAACCAACATAGACCAAGGACAGGGAAGGATTCTGTTACCAGAAACTGACTCCTGTTTATTTTTATTTTTTTTGGGGGGGGAGGGGTCGAATTGTGAATTTCTCTCTCTCTCTCTCTTTTTTTTTTTTGCAAGAGGAAACAAGGTGAAATAAAAGAAGTGAGCTATTGGAGAGGAGGACAAGTCACTGAAAGTGGACGCCAAGGTGAGCGATTTCGCATGACTGCTCTGCAGAGAGAGCTGGTCTGTGGATCTGTACAAGAGCACACAGTCCCGAGCCTCCATAGTGCTGTTTGCCTCAACTGTCCTCTTTCCACCTAAAATATCGTATCCAGTGCATTTTGAAGCACCATTATCCAATTAGAATTAAAACATTTACATAAGAATTTATTGCTTTTGCACTCGATCTTAATGACATAGTTTGCGTAACAGGCCAATCTCAACACCTCCATACTAGTCTTTGTGTCACAGTCCTGAGTTCTGTCTGTTGAAGCCTCTAGATGCTTTATGAACACAGTGCTACTTCTTCCATCTTCACACTCTTTGAAAACATGGTAACATACCTTGGAACCTGTTTTAATTTTTGAATCAAGCATGTGCTCATCCATAAATTTAACCAATAAAGGGATATACAAAGTAAAACAATAAAATAAAATGAAACTTGCTCTATAAGCCAATACCACAAATGGCAAGTTTTGTTTTTGTTTCATTTTATTTTTGTCTGTGGTTCTGGGGATTGAATCCAGGGTGTTGTGCATGCTAGCCAAGTGCTCAAGTCCAAGCCACATCTTCATGCCCACAAACGTCAAGATTTTTTTTTTTTTTTTTTTTAAAGCTTATGTATGGGGCTGGGGATGTGGCTCAAGCGGTAGCGCGCTAGCCTGGCATGCGCGGCCCGGGTTCGATCCTCAGCACCACATACAAACAAAGATGTTGTGTCCGCCGAAAACTAAAAAAATAAATACTAAAAAATTCTCTCTTTCTCTCCCTCTCTCACTCTCTCTTTAAAAAAAAAGAAAAGAAAAAAGCTTATGTATTTCTCCAGTTACATACATATAGATACCTAAAAGCATGCCTATTTAATAAGCTATGAAATACTTCAAAATCTGTATATAGAGATCCTTATGCCATTTTAAAAGTCTGTGTAGTATTCTGTTGTATAACTAAGTCATAATGTACTTTGTTTTTTGTTGCAGAAAATATACATAACACAAAATTGATCATTTCAACAATTTTTAAGTGTATAATTCAGCAGCATTAAGTATTATAACATCATTTAATTCTTTTGCTTAGTGATGAATATTACAGTGGTTTCCAAAATTTTATATTATAAACACAAAGCTCAAATGTCTTTATATAAGCATACTGATATACTCCTGCTAGATTATCTAAATTTGTAAATTTGGGATTACTGCATCTTAGATTATATGCATTAAATAAATATTTTTGTCTTCTTAAGTTTCTTCCAGTGAGGCTGCACCAATTTACATACCCACCAACAATGTATGAGAGAATCAATTTGTGGGGAAAGGTATCATTGTTAATTCAATTTATTTTTCAAAATTATTTATGTGGTTGGGGACTATTCCATAAATTCACTGTTAATTTATAGTTCTTCAAAGAGTTTCTTGTGTTTAGTCTTTGCCCATTTTTTATGCATTGTTTCTTCTTATAGCTGTTATAGGAACTATATATCAAGGCATAATTTATGTGCAGTGAAATGCACATATTGCATGTGCATAACTTAATAGGCACACACATCTGAGACTTCCAAACCTCTATCATGATATGGAATTTTTCATCCAGAAAGTTTCCTCATTCTCACACCCAATTTCTTCTCCTCTCAAAAACAATGACTGAATTATGTGTCTTTGGTCCATTTCCCCGTTGTGTGTGATGCAAATGTTTATGTCCCATTATTCATTTTATGTTTTGTTTATAAGGAATTTTAAAATATAGAAGGCTAGTTTTCCTACAGCTATTCTTCACAGAACTAGAAAAATCAGTCCTTACGTTCATTTGGAAGAATAAGAGACCCAGAATAGCCAAAACAACCCTGAATAAGAAAAGTGATGCAGGAGACATCATAATACTTGATCTCAAATTATACTACTCAGCTATAGTGACAAAACAACATGGTATTGGCATCCAAGTAGACATGGAAGTCAATGGAATAGAATAGAAGACTCAGAGACAAAGCCACATAATTGCAATCATCTGATACTTCACAAAAGTCCCAAATACATATGTTGGAGAAACGATAGCTTTTTTTCATTTTTAAATTTGTTCTTTTTAGTTATATATGACAGTAGAATGTATTTTGACTTATTATACATACATGGAGTATAGCTTCCCATTCTTGTGGTGGTACATGATGTGGAGTCACACTGGTCATGTATTCACATATGAACACAGAAAAGTTATGTCTGATTCATTTTATTGTCTTTCCTATTACCATTCCCCTCCCTTCCCTTCATTCTCCTATGTCTAATCCAGTGAACTTCTATTCTCCCCTCTCCCACCCCTTATTGTGTGTTAGAATCTTCATATCAGAGAGAACATTTGGCCTTGGGTTTTTTGGGATTGGCTTATTTCACTTAGCATGATAGTTTCCAATTCCATTAATTTACCAGCAAAGGTCATAATTTCATTCTTCCCTATGACTGAGTAATATTCCCTTGTGTATATATATTACACTTTAAACAGCCCTTTTAACAACTGGTGCTGGGGAAACTGGGTAACTATATGTAGATGAATGAAACTATGTCCCTGTTTCTCACCCTGCACAGAGGGCAAATCAAAATGAATCAAAGACTTAGGAATCAGACCATAAACCTTACAACTGCTAGAAGAAAGCATAGGGTCAACACTCCATCATACAAGTACAGGCATTGACTTTCTCAACAAGATCTCTAAAGCTTAAGAAATAAAACCAAGAATCAGTAAGTGGGGTGTCATCAAATTAAAAAAAAACACTTTGCACAGGAGATAAAATGATTAAGAGAGTGAAGAGGGAGTGTACAGAATGGGAGAAAATCTTTGCCAGCCACTCTCTGATAGGAGGTTAGTATCAAGAATATATAAAGAACTCAAAAAACTCAATGCAAAACAAAACACAAAAGAATCTAATCAATAAGCAGACAAAGGAACTAAACAAAAGTTTCTCAAACAAAGAAACATAAATGGCCAACAAACAAATAAAAAAATGTTCAATATCTCTAGGAATCATAAATCAAAACTGCATTAAGATTTTGTCTCTCTCTAGACAGAACGGCAATTATCAGGAAGATGAATAATAATAATTGCTTGGTGAGGATGTGGGGAGGGAGGTACACGCATAAATGGTTGGTGGGACAGCAAATTAGTACGACCACTTTGCAAAGCAGTGTGGAGACTCCTCAAAAAACTAGGAATGGAACTACCATGTGACCCAGCTATCCCACTCCTTGGGATTTATCCAAAAGAACGAAAATTGGAATACTGCAGTGATGCAGCCACTGCAGTGTTTACAGAGGCACAATTCACAATAGCCAAATTATGGAATCAACTCAGCTGCCTGTCAATAGATTAATGGACCAAGAAAATGTGGTATATATACACAATGGAGCTTTACTCAGCCACACTATGCATAAATATAATGTTCTAATAAAAAAGAAGAAGAAAAATCTGAGTTAGGAGTTGAACCATATTTTTTCAAATATATAAATTGTCCACTATTATTTATTAAATAGTGTGGGTTTTTCCCCCCTTTATTTTTATGCTTCTTCATCTCATTCAAATTAGACACAATCCTGTGTTGGGCTCTACTACGTCAGGCCTTTCTACAACACACCCTCTTACATAAAGCCCATCAACACATCTGCCCCAGTTTCCTGAACATATCAGTGTGGTCCCAACTCTGCACTTTCTCCCACGCTTTGAACCTTCCTCTTGATGTTCTTGCTCTTTTTTCATTTTCTGTATTGAGTTTCTGTTTCTGGCCTACGGAAATTTTTTATTTTTCTATTTTAGGACATTTTGTCTGTCGTTGCTTATATTTGGAATTCGGGAGGAGGGGGAAAATCAAAGAATGAACTTGGACCATGGTGTGAGTAGAACTTTGAACATCTTTGTATGATCATCCCTTTACCTCAGTACTTAGCATTAACCCTAAGCATAGCTTTGTGCATTTCGGTCTGTATGTGAGTTCCTTCTTCATGAATTTGGAACATTCTGGTATTATTCCATAGGGCATATCATTTCCTTTGTCTAAGAAGTCCAAAAGTAGAATTTAAGATTTATAGCTTAGTTTTGTTCTCAACAGTTTTAATATTCTATGTCATGAGTTTCTGGCTTCTAAGTTACCTTTGAGAAATCCCTTAATTTAATTATTTCTTTATAATTAATTGGTCTTTTCTCTCTGGTTGTTTTTAAGATTTTCTGTCATTGGTATTATGCAGTTTCATGTGTCTAACCTGAATGTATTTTGCTTGAAGTTAGTAATTATTAAGTCTCGGGATACATTTCTTCTTGTTTAGAAAATATTTGATTTTTATCTCTTGATTTTTCTGCTGCCCCAATACTGTTTTAATTCTCTCCTTCAGTAATTCATATTTCTCATTATATGCTCTTAACTCTTGATTAGTCTCCTGAGTTTTTCATTTCTTTATTTTCCTTGTTGCATCCTGGGCAATTTCTTAATCTCTATCTTGTAGTTTACTAATTCTCTTTATCTGTACATAGTTTATATTTCAACCTATTTCTTTCCTATTCCAGAATTCACATTTTTCTTGTGCGACATATTAATAGCTAACTGATTAAATCCATGGTCTGTATAGAAGGACTGTCTGGATCATATTTTGCCTCCACCATTTACTGGCCCTGAAGATTCAGTCAAAGAAATCAATCCTTGTTCCGTGCTGGTGGTAGCAGCTGTGGCTACTCTGCGCCTGGGTCTGAGAGGGACAGGAGTAGCTGGGGCCTCCACCAGCCTGAGCAGGGATTGGACCCAAGGGAACTCTACCACTGAGCCACATCCCCAGCCCTTTTTACTTTTATTTTGAGGGTCTCACTAAGTTGCCCAGGCTGGTCTTGAACTTGTGATCCTCCTGCATGACTAAGACCACAGTCATACACACCACACCTATCTTCTGCACCTGTTTTTTCATTTATTCAACATAATTGATTTGAGGGTCTTCAAAAATGCATATCAGGCCATTGCTGCCTCTGATTCTGCTGGGGCTAGCCTGAGGTTGCATGGGGTACCCAAAGGACTTAAAATCAATGTACTATAGTGACCTAGCCACATCAATGTTTATAGCAGCTCAATTCACTATAGTTAGACTGTGGAACCAATCTAGGTGTCCCTCAATAGATGAATGGATAAAGAAAATGTGGTATATATACTTAATGGAATATTACTCCGCTTTAAAGAAGAGTAAAATTATGATATTTGCCAGTAAATGGCTGGAGTTGGAGAATATCATGCTAAGTGAAGTAAGGCAATCCCACAAAACCAAAGACCAAATGTTTTCTCTAATATGCGGATGCTAATTCACAATAAAGCAGGTCTTATTCAACCTTTCTAAATGAAACTTTTACAGTTTGATCAGTATCTCCCCATTCCCATCCTGCCCCTAATGAGGCAGGAAAGTAGATCACCCATAGACAGTCGGGATAAAGACCTCAGAGAAGGGAAAGAGGGAATGAGACCATGCCACCCTAGGAGGAGACATCAGACCTAGGGAATATCCTGTCATTGCCCTTGACAACTTCAACCACAGCACCTCCTCCTTGTTAGAATATCTTGTTACTTACTGTTCCTGACAGCTTCAACCACAGGAGCTCTTCCTTAACTATCCCACCGTAGCGTTAGATTAGGTAGAGGGGAGTGATAGGAAAGATAGTAGGATGAAACTGACATTATTACTGTATGTATATATGTGACTGCATGACCAATATGATTCTGCAACATGCACACTCAGAAAAATGAGAAATTGTATCCCTTCTATGTATGATATAGCAAGGTGCATAAATGCATTCTCCTGTCATGTATAACAATGGCTGGCAATAGCAATAGCAATGGCTGACCCCCAAACCTACTTTACCTGACACTTGCCAAACCACAAAGTTGGACCCATTCTCTTAATTACATAAACAAGGGATTAAACTACACACTTCTGATTGGCTTATTAAACTCAGATATTGAAGAGCTTGACTGGTACCTGATAGTATCCCTCACCCCTAAGGTGGGCAATCAGATATGCTTTTAAAACCTCTAGACAACAGACACACATTGGCAACCCTCTCTTGGGACCCAGCCCCTCTGGGAGCTCTGGCCTTCTTCCTACTCTGCTCAGTGGTGTGCAAACATAGTGCCGTCTTGATAATTAAGCAAAGTTACTTGTGTAAATACTTAAAATGGTCATTAGGACACATAAAATACTCAATTTTTCATCACTCTAATAAATTCTGTCACT